AGGACAAGGAAAAATTTAGGGAAAGAGTAAGACTAGTAACATAAAAGGAAGCATTTTGAAAGGTATTAGAAGATGTTAAGCTCCTTAACTTGGTTTCACATAATACAATTTTACATGGTATAAAGGTAGAACAAGGGAGAAAAAGATCCAAAAAAGGTTGGATCATGCCGTTAGGAATAAGGATTGGATGGATAGTCTCCCCAACTTCATGGTACGACACCTAACCTACTCTACTTTAGACTATTGTCCAATTTTAATAGACACAACAAGCGTAAAGCAAAATAGATGAAACCAATCATCATGGAAAAGAAAATACTTTGAAACCACATGGATTATTGAATTGAATTGAATTGCATAGATATTATGGATAATGAGTGGACTGATAAGGATTACATAAATTTGAGAAGTAAGCTGTATAGAACCCAAGCCAAGCTTTATGATTGGTATGCAAACAAATTCCAAATTTAAAAAAAGCGTATACAAAAACTACTCAACCAACGAAAGATGGTGTAATAAAAGGCTAGTGGTTATGTTGATTTGAGCAAGATGAATGAGCTTAAAGCGTGTCTTAACAATTTACTTGAACAAGAATAATTATTTTGGAAACAGAGATCCCAAGTTAATTAGTTGAAGAATAGGGATAAAAATACATGATTCTTTCATGCACAAGCATCTTAGCATAAAAGAGTAAAAAAAATTGATTGGAGTAGAAGATGAGAATGGGGTTTAGCATGAAAGAGAACATAAGTGGCTAAATAAGCAGTGAGATAATTTAAAAATATTTTTAAGTTTTAAGGACCACCAAATCTAGCTCATATCCTAGGATTAATTACTTCTTGTGTCATAAAGAGATGAATGAGTTTCTCTTATTAGAGCTTATAGCCAAAGAGATTTAGAAAGTAGTTAAATAGATTTATCCCACAAAAACTCCAAGACTTGGTGGTATGCTTGCATTATTTTACCATAAATTTTGGCATATCATAGGACTTGAAGTAATTAATTTCTATTTAGATTTTTTGAATGGAATTGGTAACCTAGATAATATCAATGAAACCCATATTATCATCACCCTCAAAAGTAGTAGTCTTAAGAAAATGACCCAGTACAAACCAATCAGCTTATGGAATATGCTTTACAAAATTATTGCTAAAATTTTAGCTAATAGATTAAAGCTGTTGTTACCAACTTGTATTAGAGAAAAGCAAAATGCCTTTATCCTAGGTAGGCTTATATTTGATAATGTCCTTATAGCCTATGAGTTGCTGCATACTATGAAATAAAAAAAGAGAGGTGAGGATGGTTGGGTCACACTTAAATTAGATATGAGCAAAGCATATGACTAGCTGGAATGGCAATACCTCGATGCTATTATGGGTAAACTAGGGTCTAGTAGTAGATGAAGATCCCTAATTATGTGTTGTATTTCTTTTGTCTCTTATAGGGTGGTTATAAACGGTTCTATGAATGATAATTTCTCTCTTGTAAAAGGTCATTAACAAAGAGATCCCCTTTCACCTTATTTATTCTTGATACGTATAGAGGGATTGTTAGCACTTTTATCCAGTCACCAAAAAGAGAGCCTGCTATAAAAAGTTTCAATTAGTGCCCAAGGCCTAAGAATCACTCACATATTTTTTGCAAGTGACAACTTGCTTTTCTTTAATGTAAAGCAAATGGAATGCAATATGGTGAGGCACATGTTAAAAATGTATGAGAAAAGTTTTAGGCATTAGATCAATTATGACAAATCATGATTGTTTTTAGCTCAAATACAAGTGAAGATGCAATCAAAATGACAAAGAGATTGTTTGGGATCCAGTCCACTTTTAATCCGAATAGGTATTTGGTGCTGCCTATGTTTATTAGGAAAAGGAAAAAAAAAGGCTTTCATGAAGATTTTTGAAAAAATAAATAAGAAAATAAAACATTAGAGTCATAAATGGCTATCAACTGAAAGAAAAAAGTGTTTATTAAAGCGGTTCTACATTCTACGTTCACCTATGCTATGTCTTATTTTTGTATTCCCGAAAAGCCTATACCATAAGATCAACATGATTATTAGCAAGTTATAATGGCGGTACTCCATGAAAAAAAAAAAAGAAGGGAATCCACTAGATGAGTTAAAAGAAACTATGCATAAAAAAAAGGTGGAATGGGCTTTAGAGACAAGAGTTTGTTTAATCGAGGCCCTTGTTGTGAAACAAGGATGAAAACTCATGTAAAATCTTTTCTCGCTTGTTCACAAAGTGCTTAAAGCCAGGTGTTTTCCTAAAACTAATTTTCTTGATATAGAATTGGGAAAAACACCTTTTTATTCTTAAATAAGCATTTGGTAAGGAATTGCTATCCTAAACTTTGGCTTGAGGTAGCATGTGGGAACGGCGAAAGAATCAGAATTTGGCATGATAAGTGGATCCCAATAATGTGCAACTTTCATCCCACTCTTCAAACAGACCATATACCAAATGGTAAAAGATTTGTTCCATGCAAATAGGGTACAATGGAATGATAAAAAGCTAGATAATATATTCTATGAAGATATGGTAAAAGAGATTAGAGTTATACCCATTAGCTTGAGTGGTCAACAAGATATTTTGGTTTGGCACTACACCAAGAGTCTACTCTGTGAAAAGTGGATAAATTGGTCTCGAATGAAATGAATATAAGCCAAAGGAAAAAGGATATTAGAGGGATAAGCAATAGCAATATGAATCTATTTTGGAAACAGGTTTGGCAACTATCAATACCTACCAAGATTAGAATCTTTCTATGGAAGATATGGAATAATATTTTACCGGTACATGAAACATTATAGAGAAAAATAGTTATAAAGCATACGCAGTGTTTGAGATGCAATGAAGAAAATGAGACAACAATGCTTGCTATAAAAGACTCCATATGTGCGAAAAAAAGTTAGAGGCTTGTATACCTAAATGAATATTGGTAGGATAGACAGATAAGGGATGTCTGACAATGGCTAGCTTTGGTGACAAACGAACTAAATGAGGATAAGCTAGGCAAATTTACAACGATGTGTTAGGCATTATGGGGGGATAGGAACGACAAACTCAAGAGTAATATAATCATAATGGCTCAGGCCATGGTGATGTTTGTACACCAATTCTTGTTAGAGTATAACAAATCTCAAGAAAGGGAGAGGGCAACAATGGGAAGAACGATAGATAAATGGAAAGCACCTATGCAAGGATGGTTGAAAGTTAATTTTGATAGGGCTCTTGAAAGAAAAAGAATAGAGTAGTAATTGAAGCTATCACAGAAACCATTTAGGCATGGTAAAAGGAGCTTTATGTATGAGCGTGAATGGCATTAAAGACCTAGAAGTCAATAAAGGCATGACATTGGTTAGAGCAACAAAGTTTGCAAGAAATTTAGGAATGTAGAAGGTGATCATGAAGGGTAATGCACTTATGGTAACTTCATAATTTAAACAATTTATGAAAGGAAACTTAGTGGTGGATACCATTGTAGAGCTATTTAGGTTCACTAAGTGGAGAATCTCTCATGCACACAAAGAAGCAAACGAGGTGGCTCATAGGCTAGCAAAGATCTAGAAAGGAAAATCTTATCTAGTTGGATAATATGATGAGTTTTATGATATTGTACTATGAAATAGTTGTATCTTTGTTTAATGAATCCAAGTTTTATTAAAAAAAAATTTTTTTTTCATTGATATATTCCTTGTTTATCCAAACAAATTAAAAATTTTCAATTTTTTTTGGCATTACAATTTCTTTAGTTTTTCCATATTTTTTACCTTCATTTTTTTTTTTGTAAACCATACTAAGCCTTAGTTGATATGTGAAGAATTATTTATTCATTATGTGATAGTTTTTTATTTTTATTTTGATCCTTTAATGAAAATTTTAAAAAAATTAAAAAGTGAAGGCAAAAAGGGAAAAACTATGAGGGAGCATTTAGTTCACAAATTCTTAAATTTCAAGAGAAACAGTAAATTCAAAGAAAGTAATATTGAAAGAAAATAGGTGATTCCTGAAGTTGCTAGCATTAAGGAATATAAGATTTTTGTTTTTGATTAGACGAATGTAAGATTATTTAATAAAATTTTTTTGTTAAATTATCTTTAATAACACGTGAATAATACATGAAAAACATGAAAATATAAAAATAACATGTGATATATAGTTATATTTAAATTACTTATTTATTTATTTAAAGTGTAAATATTTTTCTAATATTTTTTATGAAATTAATAAAAATTAGAAATTACTAAAACTAGTATATACTTATATCAAATAAGATCTGTGTAAATAAATATTTTTAAAATATTTATTATATATATTTTGTTAAGTCATATGGAGCCTAATTATTATTCTAACACTGATTATCCTTACATAGAGAAAATATGTGGATCGAATTCTGATAAGTAATAATATTAACTAAAAGTGTTTTAAGTTTTATTATACATTTAATATATGTAATAATAGATGTTATAAGTAATAATAAAATTTTTTTCATAATATATTTTTAGCAAAAATTGTATTTTTAATTTTAAGAACGTGACCTTTGTTGAATCTATAAAATTTTAAAAAATATATTTTTTCATGATACGTTTTTAACAAGAAGAACGTTTTAAATTTTAAAGACGTTGTCTTTATTGAATAGAATTTTGAAAAATAAAATTTTTCATATATTTTTAACAAAAATCATATTTTTAATTTTTAAAGTGTCATCATTGTTCAAATTATAAAATTCTAAAAAATAATTTCGTTTTCATAATATATTTATTTAACATGTAAAAATAGCCTTTTGTTATATCTAAAAAATATTTTATTTTGTAAAATAAAATAAATAACAAAATTTATATTTATTTTGTAATTTTAGAATATTACAAATGATAATATAATATGAAAATACAATTAAATGAAAATAAAAAGGTGAAAGTTTTACTTTTGCTTTGAAATTTGAAAAAACAGTAGGGAGATGAAATTTTTTTGTTTTCAAACGTAAATATTCATATATTACTCAATTGATTCTGTCACAACAATTTCCACGGTGCTTGTGGGGCATTCCCCTATCCACATCTCATCAGAATGATGTTGCAGACCTATGTTGGCTAATCTGTGAGCGGCTTTGTTTGCCTTTCTTCTGACATGACCTACATTGAAAGAACAAAAGGTCTTTCCTTTTTCTTTAATATCAGCAACGATGTGTCCCATGGCTGACAGGTCTTCCCTCTCTGATTGAATACTATTAATGACGTTTAAGGCATCTCCCTCCAGTATCGGGTTCGTCGGTCTCATCGAAATTGCCATGTCCACCGCTTTTGCCGCTGCCCATGCTTCCACCATGCTTGCCTCGTGCACGTTATACACCCTAGTAATCGCTGCCCCTAGCACCTTACCTGTGTGGTCTCGTGCTATGACTCCCAAACCCCCTGAACTATTTGCCCTGATGAATGCACCATCAAAGTTTATTTTAACAAAACCCACATGTGGTGGTCTCTACACTATGTAAGTCGTTGCCATTTGCTCCATTTCTAGCGCTTGTGCTTGCTTGAACTCCTGCAGATATGTTGTAGCTAAACGGGCTAGCGTTTCTGATGATCTATTTTCTTCTGCTTTCGCCACCATATTCCTCCCATGCCACACGACCCAACGAACCATCAGCCCCAGTTCCTAGCTTGCAGCATCTACATCCCTAGCAATCTCATGCAACCAACCGCTTTCTGCATTCTGGTTTACGACCCTCCACTTCGCTTGGAGAGTAACAATATCCCAAATAGCCTTTGCGTATGGGCATTCCCATATGGCATGAACTATGGTTACCTGCTGCTGACCACATCTAGAGCATATGCCTTGTATCTGAATTCTTCGTTTCATCAGTGTGTTATAGGTTGGTAGGAATCCATAGTTGAGTTTCCACCGAAAGACTTTAATCTTACTCACACTACGGCGATTTAGATTTTTAGTTGCATTTTTTTAACCTTTAATAGCGTTTATGAATGTCATTAAAAAATTTAAGGCATTAGCAAAAAATATCAGTCAGAGTGTCGGTTACACACACATCAGAGAAAATAGCAATGTTTATATCTGAAAATGTCATTATTTAACGGTGTTTATATCTTTGAGACGTTGTTAATTTAGTAACGTTTTTATTTAAAAAAAACACTGCTATTATGGTGGCATTTATATGATAAGACACAGCTAAATTAACTACGTTTGTATAAAAAAAACATTGTTAATTTAGTGACATTTTTTAATAAAAGCACCATTATTTTTAGTAGCATTTTATAATACAAATGTCACTAAATTATTCATTTAGTGATATTCTTAAATGCGAATGCCGTGAAATTAAAAATTTAATTTTTTAAATAAAAAATTCTGTTAATATTTATTATTTTCATTAACAAGAAATCTTAATGAAATAAAAACAAACTTAAATTCAGAAACTGAAATTAATAAAAACTTAATTCACATTAAATATGCATCTAATTAACACAAAGTTTAATAATTAGTATAATAACATTCAAATTTTTTTAATGCATTAACAAAAGAAAAATTAAAATGTATGAAATTGATAATTGCATAGATTTTGAAGGCTATCAATTGATGAAGGAATTTTTTCACCTTAGTCAATAGCGTGCTCAAGAACCTATTGAATAATACTATACAATTTGTAACACTTCATAATAAACTTTTTTATATTAAAAAATATAAATATTTACTAAATATAATACCTAAGTGGTAGACTATCGAGATCAGTTCTTGGAAATTATTGTTGCACAAAATTCATAAGATGATCGAATCGATCATGTAACTGCTAAAATTTTGCACGCTCTTGCTCCATTTTAGCACGTTCTTACCCAATTTTAACACGCTCCTGTTCTCTTTCTACTTCCATTTGCTAGAAACGTTGTTGCATAGTTTGCAATTCCTCTCTCAATATTGAAATGTGTTGTGAAGACTAGCTTGCTGAGAATGTAAATTGTTAAGAGCTACGTCCATAGTATGTAGATGGTGTTGGACCCAATCTAAGGTCTTAGACTCGTCCATTCCTTTCTTTTCTAGCAACTTCTATGATTATTCGATTTTTCAATTCTTGCATGTTGATAGAAGCATCAAATGCTACTTCAATCTCAGCAACCATTTTCTCTTTCGCTTTCTCTTATAAATTAATCATATACAACTTTTAAGTTTAATGATTAATTGATAATATGTTAAAAAGAGTAAACATTTACTTTCTGTTAAAATAGATATTACAAATTACCAGAATTTTTTATGTTTTGACATTCATGTAAATCCATATTTTTTGTTGTGTTAAGCAAAAAAGTTTCACACGTCCAATTTTACCACCCATCTCAATCTCCTATACAAAAACATATGTTATTGTTAAATACATATCAATTGCAACTTATTCATGCATATCAAGCCTGTCAATCAAGTTCAAAAATTTTGAATAATTTTAATATCATGTATTTAATCTATCTAAATTGTTAAAATATAAATATAACTGTAAATTTATATTTTGGCCCCTTAACAACACAATAGTCTTAAACAGACGTAAATAATAAAAGCATTTTGACCTTTCATACATATCGATCATAGAAACCAAATTTAATTATTTGGACAAGTTTAATATCATGGATTGAAGCCATTCAAACTGTTCAAAGCCATCCAAAAGTTTAATTTATATTTTTACCTTTTAAAGGCAAAAAATAATCCCAAATAGACATAAACGACAACTTGTTCACCCATATCAATCGTAGAAACCAAGTTCAATCAATCGAACAAGTTTAATATCAAGTATTGAATCTATCCAAACTATTAAAATAGAACAATAATAACAAATTTGTATTTTTACCTAAATAGACGTAAACAATAACTTTTTCATACATATCATCCGTGTCAACTAAGTTCAATACTTTCGATAAGTTTAATATCATGTATTAAAACTTTCAAAACTATTAAAACAGAACAATAATTGTTTATTTGCATATTTACCTTTTAACGGGATAAAAAGTTCTTCATTGGAATAAGTTTAAAATCATAAACTTACTATTTCTTTTTACTTTCTTGAAAAACTCTTTGATCCACTTGTGTGGCTATATTTCTGTTGCTTTTTGCTATCAATCTCAATCTATTCTCTTTCGTGTCATAAAAAATAATTGCGTATATGGTAGAAATACAAAAATTACTAACTTAAAGCATAAAACACTTTCATTATTTCATTCTACTAGACAAAGTTATAAAAATTAGTACCTTTCCTTTTCTTGAGAACCAAAATCTAACTAATTATTCATATTGTCACCTAATCACATTACGGGATAGATTTTCCATCATCGCCTTTACAGTAGTATTTCGATCAAAATACTTATTCTTTAAATTATGCTTATAAACTTTCCATTTCTTTCCCAATGACTTAAGCACAAATGAAGTTGATATTTCAAGTACAAATCTTGATTGTAATAATACAATAAGAAAAGTTTGAATAAGTAAATAAAATGTAAAATAATTATATTTTTATATGTAATTAATTATACTAATATCTTAATAAAGTTTAAAGCATCAGCCTTAACTTTTGCTAAAACTTTATGACATGTTTCATAATGAATAGGCAATTTCATTCTATTGCCGGCAAGCATGCCTATAAATCTAGCCAACAGTTGAGCCTCTGCACCAATCGATTACCTATAAGAATTTGTAGACACTACAATACGCTCGTTCGAAGGTAGTGCAAACAATTTATTCAAAGTTATCTGACTTCTGGTCCTCCGTTGACTATTGTTATCAACTGTAAAAATAAAAAATCAATTTCTAAAATGCCAATGCTTTAATCATTATAATCGAATTATAAATATACGGTATATGATACCTGCATTCCAATTTAAAGCATAATCAATTGATGGAATACTGTCTAAACCTGGACCTCTCATATTGCCAGATCCAATAGTAGTTGAAGGGTTAAAAGTGATTGAGTTAGATCCAACAATATGTTCATTCCCTTCCAAAGGATTCAGTCTATAGCCAATATCAACAGGTACTGCAAATAGTTCTGAACTAATATCTCTAATATGTATTCTTTTCAATCTACTCCTCTGCATTGTAGCTTACTTGCATCATAAAAGCGAATATATAAAAGATATTAGTTTACAACATATATAAAGACATTGAAAGTTAAGAAATCATAACCTACAATATATAAAGAACATATCAATTTAACTAAATCACAAGATAATGTATGATTTACAATATAATAAATATACAATAGCGATTGCAACATTAATTACATACAAGCATTTAGTACATTATGTCTTAAACACTCGAATTATAAAATATAGATGATCCATCATGGTTCATAAATGTCTTTAGTAATATCTTCACAGACCCACTAAGCTTAGGTACTGGAGATATTTTCATCCAAGTTTTGTTCAGTAAAAAGATAACATTTAGTTCCATGTTTAACATCATCTCTAGTATCTAACCCCATATCAAATAAGTCTTTAGGTATCTTTTGAAGAACAACAAACCAACCCAATTCTTTGGGAACTTCAAAATAAAAAACTTGTTTGACTTGAGATGAAAAAACATAAGGTTCATCGATGAGTTGTTGTTCAGTATGAATTAATTGAGAAAAATTCACAAGTATAAATCCATACTGATCTTTCTTAATACCCCTCGTACTATTTACATCAATCCAATCACATCGAAATAAGACAACTTTTCACTTGCCATAATAATCCAACTCAATGATGTCATTAATCATGCCATAATGTCAACATTTCCCTCTAAAGGGTTTGTGTCCCTAGCACTAGCAGAGCTAGTCGTTGATGAAGTAACAACAACTCTTGAATTTTGTGTACTTTTAAATTTCTCACGAGATTTAGTATGAAATTTAAATCTATTGATGATGAAACCTTTGTATTATTTCATAATCCTGTTCAAACCTTATGAAAGACACTTCACCTCTTCACTAACAAGCCTTCCACTCCAAACCTATAAAAGTGGAATAAATATATATATGTTATTAATGTTAGTTATAACGTAAGCATTTTATGAATATTTCTCATAATGGGAAGTATGGCATTACTTATAGTTACTCTTAACCATTCATGAAAGTTTTCAATGAACAACTTATCAAGCTCTTGAGGGTTTGATCATCAATAATGTGCAGGAGCTCTCAAATTATTTCTATACTCACTACAAAACATCATGATAAAGTATTAACAATAAAAAAAATAATAAATTATGCTTAATGGAATAACTAATTTCCTTGCTAAAAAACTTATGTGCGAAACAATTCAATTGAGTCATGATGGAAAATAACATATTGATGTGCTTTTGCCTAAGATTTTTCATCTAACTCCACCATTCACCTTTGTCTATTGGTTGTCCAAAACTTTTAAAAAGATAACTGTAGGCAAAGTCAATATGCTGCATACCAACATTTCTCGATGGTTTATTAAATTTCATTTCAACATTTTCCAAATAACAAGAACAAAATGTCATACACTCTTCTGCTCAATATCATTCAGCAATAAAACCTTTTGGATAGCATTTTTGTGACAATAAGACTTTAACCTCCCTAAAAACCTATTACATAAAGCATTAGTCATATATCTTTTTAACTAGAGTGGCATGATCATCAATAACAACCTAATCAATCT